CTGAAATCCAAAGCTCTGATTCCCAAATCCTGGCTCAGTGGGTATTTAACCACCTTGAATTATTACAGTCACTAAATCTTACTTTTTGACTAACAAGTTCTATAGGCTGCTTCTGCACTTGCTCAGACCAGGCTGAGGCTAAGGGGAACAAGTACCAGCTCCTTCCCACTTCCCACTGGCAAGCAGAGACCACGCAGGTTACCCCTGAAGTGTGTAAATCCTCCGCAGATGTGCTGTAGATGCCCACAGCCTGGAGGGGAGCTGAGGCTGCTTACCCCAAATGGACTGAGGCACCTAAACTCTAGAGAGAGGCAGGAGACCTTGTTGGCAGATGCTTTTATCATGCCCTCCAGCTGTCATAGGCAATATAAAAACCACTGTTCCATTTTGGTACCAACAAAAAAAAATAATTCCGATCAAATTGACTTGACCCTGCAGGAGACTGGGGTAATCACAGAAAAACAGCTCTCTGATTCTGGCTCAGAAAGTGATAGAAATGATAACTGGCAGCTGATAGACAGTAATTAGCAGCCTGTAAACTGCCTGTCAGCTGGAGGTCACAAAAGCCTTGACCATGGCTGCCACATCCAAATGACAAAAATGGCGTGTACATTTTCAGGACCTGAGCAACAGGCATTCTTCCCATCAACCTACTTGCATGGCAGATCCACGTTATCCTGCACAAAGTGTTGGCTTGGAGAGTGCTAGAGGTTTTAAACTTCACAGGCAAGCTCACTGCTGCCTTAGTAGTCCTTGTTTCCTTTGCTGGGTCTAATCTAAATTTCTTTGGAAATTATTGTGATTTCACTAGAATATTATGAGATAAAGTAGGAATAAAGAGCGAGCGCAGACTCCTAGGTGAAAACAGATCCTCTCTTCTTACAAAAACTTCTGGTAAGAGTGATGGGAAGAGATTATTAAATAGATCAAGAGAATAAACTGCAGCACTTGCCTGAGGCATGGCATCAGAATGACAATGAATTAAGGGGAAATGTTTTAATTTTTTGGTGCAGACACAAAAGTGAGAATACATTTTCTCCAGGTCTGTTTTGAATGCAGCAGCTCCAGCCTGTTGTAAAAGTCTCCCAGTTTTGCTAAAATATATAGCAGCGTGGGCTGCTCACGGAGTTTGTCTTCATTCTGATGCTAGGCAGTCACTTCTTTGATAAATATCATGGAGGCCTGATTAAAAGAAAAACAATAACAGAGAGAGAGTGAAAGAATGTCGGCTGTACTTGAAACGTGGCATGTGCTGAGCTTAACAAGAAGCAGTACACAATGTCAAAACATTCAGATACTCTGCAGACTGAGTAATGCTGGTAGCTGTGGTAATAAATGTCCTTATTCTGGCCTGATTTGGAAACAGCAATGTTATATAGCATACTGGATGCTGTATCAACACAAAAACATTAGGAAAGAGAAAGAAAAGGTCCTAAAATTGCCAGTTCCTTTTAGGTAATTCCATAAATTATAAACTTTGCATCAGAGAACAAAAATTCTTGAAAGCTCTTTAAATGAGCTCAGAAAGGAAAAATTCATCCTGTCCACAGAATGGATCTTCTCTGGTTTGTACATATTTGCACAGTTAAATATTTAATAATCAATAGATTAAAATATGCCAGGAGGGAATTCAATGTATGCAATTTTACAAGAGGATGAAGTACTCATAGTTCACCTGTCTTTTTCAGGTACCTCAGTATTATAGTCCAGAGAGACATACTACCTTTTTGAGAACATAGTGACTGTGAAAGAAACAAAATATCACAAGGGAAATTTTTCAGCTGTTAAGAATACAGCATAACCTAATAGCCAGCAGGATTTCTATAAAAAGCACTAAGATTGAACTACTAAGAAAAATGAAATAATAGCAACAGTAAAGACAAAAAAGGAACATCCTATGAGCATACGACTTAAAAGCTCCCAAAGATCTAAAGGCAAAATCTTTTGTGTTCCTCCTTTATATATAAGTAGTGGTAATAATATAGAACTAAAATGAAATTTTGAGGCTATCTAAAGTTCTCCACCCTCAATGGCTTGACTGTTTCTTTTCTTTCATTGCTTTTATTTTTTAAAGTAGTTTCCAAGCATACAATAAGAGATGCCCTTATCAGAAGAACCTTCGAGTATGAACAAGTCCCTGCTGTGAACAAGTACATATAGAAAAAAACAACCTATAAATAAAATAGGAAACAATGTACGTTCTCAGAAAGTACATAAACAGATTAAGAGACTCTTTTGGCAAATGTTTTTACTCCTGTTTTAATAATTCCAGAGAATTTGTTGCTCATTATCACTAACAAACCCATAGATTGTTCTAGCTTGTCTATGAAAAGCATCTATAAGGAATATCACTGGAATCACTGATGGAAATTTGAATGATAATCAATTTTACTTACCATAGTGGAATTTGTGAAAAAGGGCCCCCATTGACCAAAATGACATTACCCAGACACAAAGGCAAAACACCACTAAAAAGAAAAAACATTTTGCATATAGTAAACTACATCTTTCAGCACCAATAACAGAACATGCACAAGCCCAGAAACTGTGTTTATGCTGCTGAGGTGACACTACCATCCTCCAGCTGTGAATCAAGGAGAAATTATCACATCATCAAGCTTCTTGAAATCTTTCATCATCTGAGCCATTGAGTATATCAAATAGCAAGATAAAATCAGAGAGCTTTTGAAAGAGATTGCATAAGCAGCAATAAAGCAATGCTGGCAAAAGCACAGTGCAATGGATTCAGTCAGAAAATGTTAAATAATCCTTCATTTAACATAAAAAAGACCAGAAGTTAAAAGGCAGAAATACAGTTTGTAAAAGAATCATGCACATGGAGACTGATAGCAGAGTGTAAAAAGCAGCAGCAACATACAATCAACTTCCAAATCAAGGTGACCTTTGGAAAGCAAGGACTGCACTGCATTGCCATCTACAAGAGGTCTTTCTGAAGATGCTGAGGAAAGGACAGCAGACAACAAACGATAGTTCCTCAGATGTGCCCTTCTTTGTCCCCTGCACCTGAGGTTTAGGGGGAGATTGCTAAATTTCGTAAATACCTTACAGTCATTAGAGGATCAGTAACCAGAGAGGAAGAAAGGCAATGAAGACATTTCAGTAACACAGAACAAAACTGTCACTGAAAAAATGTACACGTTCTTCCAAGCAAACTGTAACAGTTTGGGGTCCATCTACAGCAAGGCCACAAATGCTGATGGTTTTGCTGTTGTTTGCAATTAAGCGGTAGGGACTGGCTGTTTGCATGAATGACATCTCTACTGTATTAAAAAAAAAGATGTAAGTTTCTCATAAAAGCTTGCAGTGTAAGAACAGAGCTAAGTGGATGCTGAGGAAATGAGATTCTGCATTTGAACCAGAATATTTAGTTTTCACCCAGGACAAAGATGAACCATTATAACACAAGCGTATTTTTTTGTGTGTTAGTCATCTGGAATCAGTCAGTCAGTCGGCACAGGTTGCCCGAACCCAGACTCTTCTTAGATTTTTCAGAAACATGCAATTCTGTCTTCAGATACTCTGCTTTAGCATAAAATCTAACAACTGAGAATGAAAACCATTTACAAGTCCATCTTGGGTAAACTTCTGGGGATCGGTGCAAGACTGAAGTATGGTGTAATTTCTTTTGTGGTCTCAACAGTCTGATTTCAACTGATTTGTGTAAGAAGCCTTTCAACTTTTCTCTCAGGATACTATTTTAGAGTCTCAAGGATCTCTGCATTATGAGCAGTACATATAATTACTCTATCATCTGCAATATATAACATAATAACAATAGAGAGAATGAGCAGCTTTATATTAAACCATAAAAGGTCTTCCCACACAGTAGTTTATAGGTCATTGTCTGCATTAATACAGCTTCCAATTGTGCTACAGTTGAGTTTATAATACAATTAAAGTATCCTTAATCTTCCTACTATTTCAGATCAACAGCTCTTTGGTGAAAAAAATCCAATATTTTTTTTCTCTTTGATTTCTAGGACTTAGCTATCTAGTGTACTGTCCTATCACTTTCTTCACAAAGGAAGGATTTTGATTTTTAAATAAGAATCCCACTGCATTACTTGAAAGAGGCTTCTCATATAAATAAATATGTTCTCTAAGTGATGGCAGGGATACACAAGTTGAACAATCTAAATAGACAAGTCATACAGTCCTATTAATAAAACTCTTCCACTATCATGTATAGTGAGAAAAAGAATATAAGCAGTGTAGAAGATCTTAAATGCACAAAATATGAAAGAGCAAAAGAAAACAATAGTCTGACAATAGCAGCTACAAAAATCTTAGCAAAGAAAGATTAATAATTGAACAAATAAACGCACGATCTAACATGAGTGATTTGGGCCTCATCTTCTTTCTTTTAGGGAAGAACTGAGAACAAAAATTCTCTCTGTACAGTTCCATCAGGTACACATTATCTCAACATTAGCTCCAACAGGATCCTGTATAAAGTGGCTTTTCTGTCGTAAAGCAGATCCAGGCTGCATGAGGCAAAACACTACGTGTTCCAGAAAAAGCTAAATGAAAAGAATGCCACCCAAAAGAAATGAAATGTTCAGTCTTAAACAAACACCATAAACCCAGCAATGGGCTAGATTGCCTGAGATATCAGCACAAAAATACTGTTCGGCAAATTATTCTTGGCACAAACAACAAGGTTGGTAAATGCCCTGAGAGAAGGAAACACCCTGATGGTGACACCCGCTGTCAAAAGTATAAATAGAGAGCGCTGGGGATGAAAATTTGCAGTCCTGAATCTTATCAGGCTGTGCACCTAAATTTGGGATTGTGGTTAGACTCTTACCTGCTGTCACTATGAGCTGCGGCACTAAGTCTTCGAGGAAACACCCTGATGGTGACACCCGCTGTCAAAAGTATAAATAGAGAGCGCTGGGGATGAAAATTTGCAGTCCTGAATCTTATCAGGCTGTGCACCTAAATTTGGGATTGTGGTTAGACTCTTACCTGCTGTCACTATGAGCTGCGGCACTAAGTCTTCGACTAGTACCACTAGAATTAGCAGTGGAGGTGGTGGTGGTGGTGGAGCATGTAGTGGTGGAGGTGGTGGAGGGGGCAGCAGCTGTGGAGTACGTAAGTCTGGTGGATACTCCTCAGTGTCCTCTAGAAGATACACCTCTTCTGGAGGAAGCGGAGGCTTTTCTGGGAGAAGCTTTGGTGGAGGAGTTTCCAGGAACAACTATGGAGGGGGCTTTAGCAGTGGCAGTTGTGGAAGGATTAGCCGCAGTAGCTATGGTGGGAGAATGAGTGGTGGTAGTTATGGAGGAGGAATGGTCTGTGGAAATATGGGAGGAGGATTTGGATCAGGTGGGGGTGGTTTTGGAGGAATGGGATGTGGTTATGGATCTGGCCTCGGTGGAGGTAGTTTTGGTGGTGGTGGCTATAGTGGAGGTGGATTTAGTGGCTTCGGGGGTAGTGGTGGCTTTGGTGGTGGCAGCTTTGGTGGTGGTGGCTATAGTGGAGGTAGTTTTGGTGGAATGGGGTTTGGTGAAGATGCCGGCTTGCTCTCCACAAATGAAAAGCTGACCATGCAGAACCTTAACGATCGCCTGGCTTCTTACTTGGATAAAGTGCGACGCTTGGAGGACGAAAATACTCAGCTTGAACAACTGATCAGGGAGTGGTATAAAAATCAAGGTCCCACTTGTACCAGGGACTACAGCCAATATTACAGAACAATTGAAGAACTGCAAAACCAGGTATGATGTAATTTGACTAACTTCGAACAGATTCTCATTAGAACGGCACTTGCCTCCTGCAGCACAATATCCCTATTTGGGGCGATATATTCCCTTGTTTTAGCCAGGAAGCAGACTGGTGTGGTGACAAAGCCTGACTACCAGTTTTTCTCTGCTGTGGGTGATATGCATATTCTGGCACGCTTGTATTTGGCGCAGGTAGCATTGTTTGGTGCAATGGCAGATCATTACTAGGGCACCCATTGTGGGGCCTGTCCAGTGCTCCCTTCAACGCTGTGCTCTTGCTTGTTTTTTCCTCACTCTCTTGAACAGGATATAATCATTGCTTGCTTATGTTGTGCTACTAATGGTCATATTAATTGCATCTTTTTGTGAATATACAGGATGAGCCAATATGTGCATTTAGTCTAATTCTAGCCCTCAGCCATTTAATAGTCCCGTATCCCCTACATGAATATGGTTGTTGCCAAATGCAATGGTAATTATGCTTTCCCACTGTTTTTGGAATAAGAGGAGTTTATTTAGTTATTCTTTCCAACAAGGCATTACGTCTTTAATGGATATTTGTAAACCAAAATTGACAGCAAAGGCACTTTCTTTTAACTGGAAGCAATAAACTCTTCTCTCTATATAGAGCTCCTGCAGCACTAGTCAGGCTTGACATTACCATAAAGATATTCTGAAATGTGTTTCTGCACAGGTATTTCTTCCCTCTATCTGTGTGTCGGACTGAAAAGACAACTGACCAAATAACATCTGCCCTCTCCCTTTCAGATTGTTTGTGCAAATGTGGACCTTAACAAGATCCTTCTTGACATTGACAACACCAGAATGACTGTGGATGACTTCAGACTGAAGTGAGTCTTTCCCTTCCTGTCTCATTCCATCTTGCCTCCCTTTACCCTCCATGAGTTCATATTGCCAATTAATCTTTGTAGATGCTATAGCCTTTGGCTCCAATGACAGAATATACAATTATTGGGAAAAGCATTCTGAGAATGATTTTGTTAGTCTTTCATTATTATTTTTCTCCAGATAAGTTATTGAAGAGTGCCATTTAAAGGACTACATTTTAAGTTCCTCCATCCTTGCATGTAGATTTATAAGCATAATCCTCATCATATAAATCTCAGAGAGAGAAACTCTACTGAAATCAAACAAAGCTATTGGAGATGGAAAGAGAATTAGGTCTTTTCTTTTAAGAATTGAGCAATGGGATTAAATACCAAAGACGTACTGATGGGAACTGTTCATAATCAAGATAACAAACAAAGAGGTCTGGCAGCACTTTTACTATCTTTTTTGTCTGTCATTTAGGTATGAAACTGAATATACTCTCCACCAGAGTGTGGCAAGTGATATTAATGGATTACGTCCGCTTTTGGATCAACTGACTCTAGCCAGATCTGACTTGGAGACACAGTTTGAATCCCTAAAAGAGGAACTGATCTGTCTCAAGAAGAACCACGAAGAGGTAAGTTTCTCCACACTTTAAAATAGTAACTAATGAAAACTCAACACTCAGAGAATTTCCTGTGGATTTCTTCCACTAGCAGTAACCAGATTTTGGCCGCTGGCTTTGATCATACAACTTGACACAATCTGGCTTTGATTTTCAGGAGTATGTAGCATCCATAGCTGCCCGTAAATGATGTAAAAAGACACCTAGGTCAACATGTGGCAAAATGAGATCAGGGAAATGAATGGCTTTCAGTACAAAGTACAATTTTGTTGATGAACTCATGGAAAGAAAATTGGTTAGAATATATGGACGAGTCAAAAGAAAATATTTATACTAGCTGCAATGATTTTTCCCATTGAGAAGAAAAACACATAAAAGGATTTTCACAAAGAGCACGCTGCATAGAATTCCTTATGACCCTGAGGAGAAAATGTCAGGGTCAATTTGTATGTGGTGCCTGGCTACTGTGCGCTGTAAAGTTTGGCTTAGGAATGGCCGAATTGTTCCCTTTCATGACAAGGGCAGATGAGGCCCCCTTTGTAGGAGCGATACGGCTGTGTGAGGATTTGTGTCCCTTTCTTTTCCTTTATTTGAAATTACATTTCTCCTTACCTTCACCCCTTGAGAACCTGGTGGGTTTTTCTGTGGTTTTTTTTCAGGAAATGAAAGGACTGCAAACACAGTCTGGTGGTGATGTCAACGTGGAGGTCAATGCTACTCCTGGCATTAATTTGATGGAAAAATTAAATGAAATGCGTTGTGAATATGAACGGCTTATTGAGAACAACCGGAGAGAGGTGGAAAGCTGGTATGAAACCAAGGTAAAGCACAGCGTTTTTTCAGTTACTAAATCTTTCACAAAGAACCGAACCTATTTACATCCAGCAGAGGAAAGACAACTTATCATGTATTATTTAAGGGACTTTAAATGACTTTAAGCAGTTTACTGTAACAGGTCAGTTCTGGAGTATTAAGGTTATGTGTAAAGCATGTAGAATCTCTGTGTTCCAGTAGCAAGGTGAATTATACAGAGTGAGTTAGCAGAGTGGCATGTGGGAAATACACGGTCAGTCTGCATTACATCTTTCTTCACTCTTATGGATTGCTTTCTCAATGCTTTTATGATAACCCCACAATGTTTTCTTATTATCAAAAATGCCTCAATTTTGTATGTGAATTTTTCAGATGGAGGAAGTTAATCAACAAGTCCACTCAAGTGGCCAAGAGATACAATCAAGCAACCAACAGATCTCTGAGCTGAGACGTGAATATCAAAGCCTGGAAATTGAGCTGCAGTCACAAATCAGCATGGTAAGTAAAGGTATTTGCTTCTGCTTCACCTGTGACACAGGCTGTATGTGTCACTAGAATGAAAGAATGGTTACACCTAGAAAGTACTCTATCTGTAGAGAATGGGATACTTATCTTCAAAGATATGCTTTTTTCTGGTTTGTGAAGATCTCCAATTTTTCCACAAAAATGAGTTAAACTTGCCACATTCCCATAAACACTGTATTTTGTTTTCCATTTGCAGGTAGACTCTTTGCAGTCCAGCTTGGAAGACACAGAACGTCGCTACAACATGCAGCTGCAGCAGATCCAGTGTATGATCGGCCCCTTGGAGGAGGAGCTGGCCAGCATCCGCTGTGAGATGGAGAGTCAGAATGAAGAGTACAAGATGCTCCTGGGCATCAAGACCCGCCTGGAACAGGAGATTGCTCAGTACCGGGCACTGCTTGAGGAAGGGCAGCAAGACCTTGTGTATGTAAACTGACAGAAGAACACAGCTTTATGTGAAACCCACGGTTGCTAGTTTAGTCACAAAGACAGGAAACTAACAGTCTAGATTTGCAAAACAGATTTTGTACTGAAATGAGGCTAATTCAGCTATCTTGACCAATCGCCTCCCAGGTTTGAGGTACTATACATTTCTTGGCAAACCTGTTCAGAATATAAATCATGTGAGGAAAAATTAATGCAGGAATTCTGAACTACCGATTTGGGGCTGGACAGGGAAACCCACATACAGAACCTTACCTTTACCCTGGTTCCAGAAAAGGCCAGGAACTGAACAGACAGAAGTCACCTTGGAAAAGACTGTAAGCAGGAAAATGACCATAGTTTTCTAAACCTTCATAAAAGTCTCAGGGTGCAATTCTCTGAAAGTTCAAGCTACTTCGGTTTCCCTTATGCAGTGAGCCTGCTTCTGCTTGTAAGTGGCGCCTGAAAGAACAGCTAAAGCTTCATTTTCTGCCTTTCCAATTTGGAGAGCAGTGACACCATACACTGATAAAGCAGCAATGCTAAATCTTGCAAGAAATATCTGAGCAGAATGTGGGAAAAGCAAAAACTCTTGCATTCAAGCTGTAATTGAAAGGGACATTGATTTTTGGCACTGCATCGGTTGTCTTGCTGATCTGTGCTAGGTTCTAAAAAGGAGAAGTAGACAAAAGAAGTGCAGACTTCCGTGCAGTATCTGTAGACAGATTTCCTTCTGAGATGAAAAATGCATTTGATTAACTTTTTTTTCTCCTTCTTTCTCTCTCTTTGCAGAATCCCACCAGGAGGCATGGGAGGAGGCGTGGGAGGTTGTAGAATAGGAGGTGGTGGCTATTCTTCTGGAGGAGGAAGAGGAGGAGGTGGTAGCATGAGTGGTGGATATGGAGGTGGTGGCATTTCCTCCGGCAGCGGAATGGGAGGAGGAATGGGAGGAGGAAGTGGAGGAATAGGAGGGGGAAGTGGTGGTGGATGCAGTAGTATTGTTGGAGGAGGAGGAGGAAGGATCTCAGGAGGTGTCAGCAGTTCCCACTCCTACTCTTCGTCTTCCCAGTCTCAGGCCTGCAGGAGTGGTGGTGAAAGCCAAGGTGAGAATTGTTGTATGGTCACACTGTTCTCTCAGTCCCATCCTTACTAATTTATACCCTGTATCAACATACTTTTCTGGAGGTAAACAGTACCGAGGATAAACTAAAATTTCTGGGAAGTGTTAGATTTACTTTTATTAAAAATTCTTTCCTCTTTGTGTGCAAAGGATCAACTCCACTTAAGAAAGAGAAGTGGAGTTGAATTCAATTTCTATTCAATTTTGTGGGTGACATCAGCTAATCATGTAGTTAAAACCCCAGCTGTTTTTCTTCACACCTCTCATTCTTTGCAGAACCTCACAAATACCGCTGCTTTTGTACCATGCTGAAGTTTTCCTTTATGCTTTTGGAATGCTTATCGTCACCTATCACAAAATCAAGCTTCTTTTCTGTCTGGTAAATACTGGTGCCTCAGAGATTCAGTACCAGTACTGAAGAAATTAATGCTTTCTTTATTTCTAAACAGGGTATGGAAGAAAATCTTTTGACTAAGAATATACATTGAGGATCCTACAGTGCAAGACCTTTCAAACAGAAATTGGCCCAAATCCTCTACATTCCCCATGCTCCTGAGGAAAGACGGATGCTCTTAACAGTTCCTCAACGTTGCTGATGCCATCTATCCAAAAAGGCCCATCAGAGCTACTCAGATGGGCCACCTGCCCACCTGCCATGCATGCTATGCGCTGCTTCTGCCCGGAATGCTTTGTGGCTTCAATCATTGGCACTTGAGCTACTTGCTTTACAGATTCAACCTGTTTGTTACTTGGGTTGTTCTGTATCAGGAAAATGTCGCTAATAAAACTTCACTTCTGTCTGATGCAACCAGAATCTTATGTGTAGGTTTTCTTCCATTCTGTAGGTGTAAACGCTTAAAAAGAAAATACAAAGCCATGCCAACACATGCCTCCAGGTAGAAAAGCTGATGATACATTACAATAGTTGATAATGACATTTAGAGTTAAAGCACAATTTCTGAGCATTCAGGGCAGATCATAATCTTCTTGGAGCATCCTGTGCTGCGCCTTTGTTTTTTAATAACGTGCCATATACTCTTGTGGAGCTGAGCTCTAAGACTCAATAGCAGTTGAATATCAGCCCAGAACAGACTGCAGAATCTCAGCACTGTATGAATGCTAATAAAGTTGGCATCAAATGAGTGCCCACCCAGGCCTGACACAAAGAAACATGAATGATTACAGAACCATGATTGTAAAATGAACGGAATGTTTCAATTTGTGATTCACAAAAACTTATCTGACACTCATCAGTTTAAACTGGAAATGCACGAACTAGGGATCTGTTTTTGAACAGACAAGTAAAAGAAGTTTAAAGGAAATATAATTTACAGGATCTTTACAAAGTTCTCCTCCATAAAATGTTAATACTAACAGCAATATTTGCCTTCTACCTGTGACAAATGAAGTACATGCAAAAGTACCTGGAATGTTTACTTTTGGATATAGGAAGATCTGTACTGTGAAGAAAATTAACATAAACTCTTTCAGCCACATCCAACTGTTACTTAAAAACATTCCTGACTACAGTTTGCAAAAAATTTGGTTGCTTGGCTGCTGCAACAGCTCAGAGCAACTCAACAAACAAATAATCAGAAAGCACTCTCTTGTTATTAGCTATCTTTTGGGAGTTGCATTTGCTTCTGTCCGGCTTTTTTATACGCTTTTTTATAGTCATTATTTCAAAGAAATTATAGTATAGCTTTCTCCAGTGACTGGGACAACTTTGTTCATGAAAACAAACAGTAGCTTGTTTCATTGCAGCCCACCCCCATGGATAAAACCCATTTCCAGAGACTTAGTTGAAAAAAATAACTTTGCCTTCTGGAGACTAACAAACTCAGAGATCAAAGGAAATGAAATGTATTGTCCTAGGCCTTTCAAAGCACTCTCTTGTGCACGTTTGAGGAATCTCAGGAATTTCTGCATGATATTTTGGAGGAGAGAGGGCTGCCAAAGTAGGCAGATCATAAACCACAGATTTATTAATTTTAATGAGAAGTTAGCATCTCAATTCCTCATTTGAAGTCAACTAAGACTCATTTGAAAGTCTTAGTCCATTGTACAGCTACCACCTAGGCAACACAGAACACACGTCAACAATAGGCTGTGCGGCTCGCAAGTAAACCCAGCAATGGAAAACCTGGAAAGGAACATAAAATACTAGTGCCTGCCCAGCATGCCAGTCTCTCTGAGTTGCCCCCTGAGGCAGGTTCAGCTCACACAGCTGTTTGCAGAAGGCTCTGTCGTAACCTGGCCAAGACAGGATGTCTATGGTGAAGCTAAGTTTTAAAAAAAGGCACACAGCGGTCCGAGCTCCAAAGGCTAGCAGAGTATCCCGGGCAAACGAGGGGCCAAAATTACCCTGAGGCTGCACAAGTGAAGGGTATATTTCACTTGTACATGAACTTGCAGGCTTAACTGCTGATGTGTGTGCTCAGGGAGTGGCCTCTAGTGGTGAATAAAGAGTCAAAGAAAATGTGGTTTGTGTGGAAGAGGAGCTAGCACCATTGATTAAAGGTAAAACAAGTCAATGCACAAGGGTGTGGATCGAGAGAATAGATGCAAAATTAATTACAAGAAATACAGGTCACATTGCCATGCAAACTTTCTCAACCCATGGAAACCATTCAGGGAAATAGAAATACTTGACCTACACCAAACTGAAGTCTGTATTTGTTTGTGTTGTGCTTGCATGAACTAGGTTTTGCAGACTTGTTAAACAGACTTTGTGCGACACAAATATTTTCAGGGACATACAACAGGAATAATGAGATTCTAGTAATGCTGATTTCTATTTCTTTGTTTTAGATACTTGGAGTACACTCATCATCTAGAAAGAAATGTGTTGTTCATAGTAAATGGTATGTGGATTATTTCAAAGTAATCAACTGTGCTTATGCCAGAGCCCTGTAGAGGGTACTGTGTTGTTACCTCTTGCACCTTATATGTTACAACTACCTCCACAGATGTCAATCTACACTTTAAATTAACATTTAAAGAGTATTTATTTTCTCGTAATTACCTTGCTGCCCAACAGGCACTAAGTGCTACACATCATATGGTGAAGTTCAGAAGGGATTGAAATAGGCAGAATGGAGACAGGACCTAGTAAGAGACCCAGTTTGAGGGAATGAAGGATTTTCAGGAGAAAGTCACTGGTGTGGCTAATGAAATTAAAAGAGAGTATGAGAGGGGAATAAGGAATCTCACTGTATCTTGAACAAAGACTGAGGAAAACCCTGTGGATATAGACAGTGAGAATGTTTGGATGAATGGAATACAGCTGGGGTCTTCCATGGAGGACTATGCATTTTGGGGATATGTCCTCTGAAGGTTGTGGCCACAGAGATGAGTCTCCATTCAATATACAGAAGATCAAAATGAAGAACATCACTAATTTCACTGTATCAGTCTAGGGCACATGGATACCCTGGGCTGTACTTTGAGTGCTGTAACTTTGGTGACCCTGTCTCAAAAATAACACGATAGAGCTGGAAAAGATTCAGGGAATGGTGGAAAAGGTATAGAAAAAACTTCTGCATGTGCACTAGGTAGTATCCTAGAGTGTTTCAGCCTCAGAAGGAGGCACATCATGACCAAGGATATGACAGCATTCTCTCTAAACACAGCAGTATGTAAAATCACGACTGACATGAAGGTGTTTCTAATTAAAGTTAGTTGACAAAAAGTTGATAAGTCATAATTTTGTAGCTTTTTTCATGATTCAGCTTCACTTTAAGTTCAAAATTTTGTTTCTCTCTTAAGGACTATTTCCCACATATTGAAGTCCCTTTCCTTCTGGAGTCAGAGCTAACTCCTCTAGCTTCTTTGGAAGTCACTGGCAGTACCTACAAGGACGTGCCTTTAGGCAGCTGAATTCAAGCTCTGGGATTCAGCACCTCAAGTTTATATCTCATTGCATATTAAGCCTCTAAAGACTAAGCACTTCTACAGATAGCAGATAACATTCTAGTGGTAACAGTTCACACCTGTCCCCTTCCAACTCAACAATATTTTGTTGACAAGCCTTTCTATATAATTCTTATGATAAAAGAAGAAAATTAGATCTATGGATATACAAAGGCCTATCGTAAAATCATAAACCTATTAAAAAACCCCAAAACAGAAGACTCTACAAGAATACGGCCTTACCCAGGGTGAAGCTGTACTATTTTCAAGTAGTTGTCTGTTGGTTCTCAGGGGCATGGTGGGAGCAGGAATCTTGTTTGTAAGCAGTTTTCTTGGCGCCTGTGCTGCTCCGGGAGACAGGCAGGTAGGAGTGCTGTTTCACGGGGTGTTTGAGAAGCTGAATGGCAGCAGCTACATGCCAAGAGCAAAGCACAATCAAAAGTTGCTCCTGTTCAGGACTTCAGCCCCAGCTCTTTTTACATCCATGGGGCACATACAGGCATGCTGTCTTCAAACTCAAACAATCCTGCTCCCTCCTCTGATGCGTACCTTCATGTGTACGGTGACTCAATCTCTTCTCACTCTTCTTTTGCTAATTTTAATGAGTTTATTTCTTCTTCTGTAATATGGAATCTGTTCCTAAAATACTTCTAGGTTGAATTCATCATCCCTCACTGTGGATAAGCTACTTTTGAGGCGGTAATTCACAGGAGGTTCCACCAGCTCCTTGTGCTTCCTTTGTACTAGCCAAATGACTCTTCTGTAGGACTTATAGTGCCAATATTTAATGCACAGCTGGAAACCCGAGAATTTGTTTCTGTTCAAGGCTTTTCTCAGTTTCATAGAAGCTTGATTCGTAAACATGGAAAAAGCAAGTCCCTGAACATCCCATATTGCATAGGCAGTGGAAAAAAAAACACAATTGTTTCTTACTCTGTGTTTCATGTTGCAAGATATTCTCTCACCGTTGGCAAACACAATTCACTGTAACGAGTGCAGATAATGATTGTATTTTTTCAGATCTAATCTTTGGCACTGTATCTTTTCATCAAACTTTTTTTTACTGCATTATATAATTCAAGGACATATTCTGAGAAATGGCTATTTTTAATACAATTATGAAAATATGAAATATCATAAATTTCTCCTCTTAATTTCTTCTGAGTCCATTTAAACCAGCTAAAATAAAATTAATGGCTGTTTGGTAGGAAAAGATTTAATGTGTTTCCCTTGCAAAATACTACTTTTGTGGCTGTCACCCAGTTTTCTTCAACAAGGAAAATGACTGAAATCTCCATTCTGCACTTTCAGAAAAAGTTAAATACCAGCAGGACCTTCCTCAAAATAAGCAGTGACAACAGAGTAAAAAAATCATTGTAAAGTTCTCTTCTATAACAGACATGGGAATGCAGTTTTAAAAATTTATTTCAGTAAATTAAAGTAGATTTCTAATTAGCTAAGGTAACTTTTGAATAAATTAATGAATGAAGAGTCCCATGGAGGCTGCTAGCCTTACGAATCATTGTCTGTGATCACAGGAGGAAGACAAAAGGTGAAATACTGAATTTCGCCACACAGAAGACTGAAGGAGACAGACAACCAAGGCGGAGCCTTCATTAAATCCTATTACTAGCGATATATTGCCAGATTAATGCAAGCTATGAGATATTATATTATCCAACAAAATACCCAACAAAGAGCCACCCACATAAAATTATAGTGCATGCTTTGTGTGAATCAACACAGACATACTTGAACAGAATGGTAATGCATTTTACTTACCTCAGACAAAATTTCCTTACACATCACTTTTGGCATGAGCACTAAGGCTGGCAAACTTCATGGGAAGCTGGACTGCCTTACAGGTGACACCCACCCAACAAGGTATAAATAGCCATCAGGACTGCCTTTGCCTCTGCACACCCCTACATATACCAGATGGAAGGACCAAGGCCTTGCCTTACAATCAGCTTTTTTTATAATGAGACGAATTACAGCACCAGGGACAAAGGCTACACTTCCTTACACACCCAGAGCGCACAAACCCAGAGGTGTCGGTGATCTCCCAGCATCAGTGTTCTTCCATTCTTTCCTCCATCAAAATACTCTTTCACCAGAATGTTTGGGGAAGTCAAAATCTTGCACACACCACTTCCTGTGGCATGGCATTTCAACAACTTTCTGTGGCCCCTGCATTACTGCAGGAAACAATTCCAAGACCCACAACACCACCCTACCAAAGCTTTGGGTCTTCTTTCCTCTTGTCCTGGATGTCTAGAACACAGAAAGACTCCTCTCCAACTTCCCCTTTTGCAGATCATTTCTGCCACTGTGGACAATAACAGACTGCTTCTGGACATCGATAACAGCAAGATGACTGCTGATGACTTCCGAATGAAGTGAGTACCTCTCTGTGAACCTTATATGTCTTTCAAATCCTGCTCATAACCTAAGGAGACAAGGCAGCACTGCCCCAAGTGGTGTTACTGAGTCTTCATGTTTTATTGGGAAACTGGCCTTGGAAGGATGTGTGCTATTGACTGTCATCATCCCATTTCCCCATTTCTCTGTCTCTCTTCTCTGTGGTACAGGTATGAGAATGAGGTGGTCATCCGTCAGACTGTGGAGGCCGATATTAATGGCTTGAGAAATCTCCTGGATGACCTGACTCTGGTTAGATCTTCACTGGAATCCGAGCTAGAGTCCTTGAAGGATGAGCTGATTGCTCTTAAGAGAAACCATGAGGAGGTACGGTCCAATGATAAATAGCATGGCCAAGACATAGTCCTTTGATTCTTCAGGGTTCCCAAAGTTACATATCAAGTAAATTCCGCCTTATGTCCTGTGATTGTCATTCCTTTGTACCTTGATACTGCTTTGCCCACTCTCCCCAGCAGAAGAAATGACCTGTGCTCCTTGTTTTCCTCTTTGGACTCTCTGCAGGAAATGAGACAGCTGCAGTCTCAAACTGGTGGCGACGTGAGCGTGGAGGTCAATGCTGCCCCTGGCGAAGACTTGACAAAGACACTGAACGACCTGAGAAACGAATATGAGCAGATCATCGAGAAGAACCGCAGAGAGGTTGAGCAGTGGTATGAAGTCAAGGTACGGAGCAATGCACAAAGTGGAGTCTCCTTCTGCGGGAAAACCCAGACACCCTGGTACTGGGCGTGCAATGCCTTTGGCTAAAAGAGGGAGGCTGCTCACCTGCACCTCACTTGCACAGCTGGGGAATGGGAAGAGCTGCTGGGGAAAGACTGCGGTGGCAGAGGGGGAGCAGGCCAGGTCTGATGTGCAAAGGTGGGTGGAACGTCAGGATCTATGGAGCAATGACTAGGCTGTCCTCGATGAGGACAGGATGAAAGGGAGAGGCCTCCCTGGCTATCTTAGCTCTCAGTCAGCAAATCTGCTCCCTGAGGGGCTTTTCTCACTCAGAAAGCGTGTTTGGGGTTTGACTCCTGCAGATTGAAGAAGTCAACCGCCAGGTCACTTCCAGCAGCCAGGACATCCAGACAAGCAGCCACCAGCTCACTGAACTGAGACGCGAAATGCAGAACCTGGAGATCGAACTGCAGGCGCAGCTCAGCACGGTACGTAGGGCAGGATCGCTGGGGGCTCTTCCCTCCTCGGAATGGGCAGGGAGGGGTAGAGCTCGGGGCCTAAACTCCTGCATTTCCACTTCCAGAAAAACTCTCTGGAAAACTCCTTGGCAGAAACCGAATCTCGCTATGGCTGCCTGCTGCAACAAATCCAAGGGCAGATTAACTCCGTAGAGGAGGAGCTGGCCAGCATCCGCTGTGAGATGGAGAGTCAGAACCAGGAGTACAAAATGCTCCTGGGCATCAAGACTCGCCTGGAATAGGAGATTGCTCAGTACCGGGCACTGCTGCAGGAGGGACAGCAAGACATTGTGTACGTATTCCATATTATAGCAAGGGAATAAAAAGAAATCCTTGTGTACTTAATTACTAATAGATACTTCTTGTCCATGGAGCTGCATCAACGTCTTTTTTGACTGAATATGCAGTGCTTAGGGGTTTTTTGGTGAACTAATTACTCTCCTTTTACAGTGCCTCCCAAGGAGCTTTCCAAGGAGGTGGAAAATCCTCCCATTCATATTCTTCTACTTCCTACTCTCATTCCCAGTGTGGCGACATGACAGGTAAGACAACTTTTAAGAACATGTTTATTAATGGATTACATCTACCCCAATGACTACAATATTTTTTGTCAGAAAAAAGTTTTGTATTTTGGGCTGGGCAACATTCCCAAGTCCAGTAGCCCAGGAGTGAGAGAACCTCATTGACTCTGTCATGGAGGAATCAGGGGTTAAAATACAATAAGTCTTGCCCTTCTCTCTACCTAAATATAAAACACAGATTATAAACTTTACAGGATGAGTTATGGGGTTTTGCTCATTGGAATAAAAAAAATACGGTTCTGAGAAAGTGCCTAGGATATTGCTGGGCTTGGAGCCTCTGAGCTTCTCTTGCTAACACAGCATGTTAGGTGAAAGAATTCAGTTCAGCAGGAAAGATCAGATTTCCCCTTAAGGCAATGATTTGTTCTGTCTTTACACAGGACAGTCAAGAGTGTGCTAGAGCAATAGCAGTGATGGCATCCTCCAACTAAGAGGCATTGAACATGGACAATGAGAGACTGAACGAAGACTTCTGCAGCACAGCTGATGCAACTCAAACAATTTGGAAGGAGTGTCTGCTCACCTGCCTCCTCACCCCTTCTTCCATTCTGCAATGCTTGCCTTCCTCAACTTGTCTTTGTCAACTAGTTCTTTGTTTAAGGGCTTAAATTCTGCTGATAACACTGCCTCTAATAAAACTTTACTTCTGCAATGCAAATAAAAACAATGTGTCTGAGAAATTTAATTTAACAAACTTTGAATGGGTATTTATCAAGTTAACCAATCAAAAACTGGTTGTCCTATCATACTTTGTAACATATTCTCAAAACAATCTATTGTGCCCTAAGAAAATGGACACCATGCCGAGATAATATCACTGAGTAAATGGAAATGTCACTAATTCTGAGCATGGCTGTATGAAGGCTGTATGAAATGTGACATCTTCCAAGCTCTGCCTATGGGAACTGTCAGTCAGGTAAGACTGTCAGAACTCTCTACTCAAAAGCAAGAGGTATAAGGTTGAAAACAGAAATCCATTCTTGACATAATTTTTCTCCTTCCTGTGAAATTACAAATCATTAACATTTTGTTTTCTAGTGGCCACTAACGGATTGCTTTCTGGCCCCTTGCCTTGCTGCTTTTTACTAAAGACACTCTGAATGATGTGAGTGAAAGGAGAAAGAAAATACCAATGATGGGTAACTCTCTGAAGATTATTTAATTAACTGTTAATGTACTAAACTGTGCTCAATGCCACTACTACGACTCATCTGAGTCCATTAATCTTTGGCTTTACTCAGCTCATCATAGCTAGAGTTCCTGTGGAAGGTGTGACTCAGTATAGGCTGTCCCAGTACATATGGGTTTCCTGACATCAAGTATTTCTACACCATTGACTATGCAGAGAATTACGTATTGCTAACTGCTGTTAGGAAATACAGCCAACAAGGCAATGTGCCTGTTCCCTTCGGTGTCATGCACCAAAAACATTCCTATGTTTTATGATAGAAATTTCAATTTAAATACCAATAATACCAAGAACCCAATTTTTGTCAGTACACTCAGTGGGCTGACGCTATGCCTTAAGAGGAATGAGAGACACATTTCATCCACCGAACGTATTTTCTATACTTTATTTTTCTGCTTAAGAAGATAAAATATGCAATAAAATTGGAGATGAGAGGGCAATACTAAATTAGAACAGCTATTTTATACATACCTTGCTTTCTGAAGATGACAGTGAAGCCCCTTTTCAATCTATAACTGTGTGCATCAGATGCACAAAATCAGCCAGGTTTCATTCAATTATAAGTGCCTGTTGATCCCTTCTCCACCTACCGAATCTGGTCTCTAGTATTTGCTGTTTCATCTAAGACTGAGCGTATTGTTCTGTTAGGGTAATGAAATGAAAGGTTTTCTCATCATAAACAACTTACAGGAGTATTATTTAGGTTAGGTCTTCTTTCAGTAATCACGTGGCTTGGCTCTGCCATCACAATACCATAATTGCAGTCTGCAGTAAGTATCCACAAAGAAGAGATATTTTCTATTCATGTTGAAAAACTGGGTTTCCAAACTGACTTTTTTCAGTCCAGCATCAGGAATTTGTATGAACAAAAGCCCTTCTCCAAAGGAAAAAAAGCTCATTTCAGGTTTTAACGGTATAGAAAGCGATGTAAAGCAAATGCAAACATGACTTTCATCTCCAAAGGCTGCCGGAATTCATTCACGTCTCAGCTGTACTTAACATAACCAAAACAGCTTCAGAAGACATCTTTTTTGAGGCAGGACTATGGAAACTTGAACTACAGTTAGTGTATATAAATAAGTGCTGAAACGTTATTTTGCTTCCTTCTAATCTTCCAGAAGCACAGAGAAGTGTCATGATCAAAAATACAGTCTTCCACATCCAGAGAACTCAAGGGAACACCAGAGCTGCAGTATGTCTTTCCCCATTTCTGAACTAATTTGTAAGAGTGTAAGGTCTTTGTGAAATAGGCAGCACTATGAAGAGTCTTAAGTTAAATCTGCAAAACCAAAGCTATGCAAAATCTTCAGACTGAAAGGAGTGGACGCACTGCAAAACTGCCAGTCACTGCAGCAGGATTAGATCACTGGTGGAGTCCTCCTGCTGCTGACAGTACACCACCTCTTGCATATCACCACTGATTCATGAGGCGCTTACCTCCATCTAAGTATGGGGCAAGGGCTGTACTGGGGAAAACACATGGAACATGCCATAGGCATGCCAAAAAGCACAGCATGCCTCGCTGCCTCCATCTAAGGCTGGCAGATGCTCCAGAAACCTTGTAATATGTTCAGTCAGGTATCTTGATATCACTGTCTGCTCCTGGCACTCACTTCACTTCATCCATGGTTCTTAGAAAAAGCAATACAGTTGCTTACTGTTCTGAAAAGATCTACAGGAAAGGGAAAAAAAGGGCTTTGTCAGGGAGGAATTTAGAATTCGATTAGTTAGCATCATTGATAATTACAGCATATTCTAGCAGGCAGAGAGAAAGAGAACAGGAAAGGATTGCTATACTGGGAGAGCTTAATTTCTCTTGGGAATTGATTTTAAACTTTTCCTTTTTCAGTGGTAGGAAGGACTACTGAACTAACAGTTTAGATGATAGATTGTAGAATTAAAATAGCTCACATTTAATAGGGTTTTCTGTAGGTCTACACATGTGCAAGGTATAAAGGTCCATCCCAGGGAGTCACATAAGAGAAAAATAAGAACAGAATCTGGGGCTATGGAAATCATTCATCTCTGAAGAAATGCCCAGGTAAGTGATGCTGAAGGGTGATGGGCGACGGATGAGGAATGCACAGATGGAGCTCCTGATGAAACTCATGGGAGTAGCACTCTTCTTACCAAGACCACAGTTGACTCATTTGTTGTAGAACAATTAATTACCTGTAATTGTTTCTGAGGTTGTCCTCTCCCTCTTGTGTGACTAAAGACATATATCCAGTAATGACATCATAGCTTCTGTGAAAACCACTGACTACTTTTGGTTCTTTTGCCAATTCAGAGTATCTGTTTGTGGCTCTGCATCCAATTTCACCAGTGAGTAAAGAGCACTTGGAAAGGCTTCATAACATCGTTACTTCAGACAAACATCTCTGATTTACAGGGGTTCATGGGGTGCATTATGAGCAAAAAGCCTTCCAGGGGAAGAGACGATTTCAAAGCTCTAACAGCCTCTTCAAATGGCTGAGCAGCCTCTATACCCTCTACAACAGAAAATGTCTGACCTTCTTCTGTCATCACAAGGGTTATGAATGTTAATGGCACCTTAAAAGACCTGGCTCTTTTGGTTTGTGAAATAAACCAGTGTGTCCAAATTGACTCACAACAGCCATCTCAGGCCAAAGAGGTCCATAGGATGGTGGACCAAAACTGCACAGGAGACGTGGAAATACCCATGAGTTACAGAATAGAAAGTCTGAAGTTTAAGTCTTTGTGATACAGTTACAGCAGTAAGCATAGTCAGATCAGCTATTCAAAAAAAAGAAGAGAGGGACAGAGAGACAGGGAAAAGGCATCTGTTGATGGTATGAAATTACAGCATTGGGAAATGTTTGGAATTGTTGGGTCAGATGTAACGACGCAACAATGCTGAGAAGGAGATATAAAATCAACACCTCTGGCATTAATGCCTATCAGCAATAAACATATCATAGGGAAGAATAAAGGTGCATTTCAACAATCTAATGAGGAAAATATGACTAAGGAATCACACCCTGTGAGAAAATAATTTTTATTTTTTAATAATGATGACTCAGTTTCAATAACATATGCAAAGCAACTGGTTCTGACGTGCAGATAATTAGAGAGCTACCAATAAAAGAACAATCATAATTATGAAGATCAAAGTATTACATTATCTTCAGCATATCTATGAAAATGTGTGTAGGGGTATCAAGAAAGAGGGTAAATGGCTTTCCATGATTCTTCAGTCAGCCATAACATGCATTAGTGACTTTTATTGGTCTCATAATCGTCGTGGCTAAGAGTGAAAATGTTGCTCCAGCCACAACTGCAAGCTGTGTATAAGTAAGATCGTAAATGAAGAAACCAACAACAAAATGAACTAGTGATTTTTAACTTCCAAATAGAGATGAATTCCCAGCAAAGTTTAACTCTCACATAAAGAGGCCCCTTGTTGTTCAGACTTAAAATTTATGTTTTCCAAAAGTTATTTAAAGGCAAAATTTCATTTCCAAAGAAGGGATCATCACATCCTGTTCTCTTACAGAAATGCTGCAATTGTGCAGCAGCGTTAGAGACCTCTGCAGTGTTAGAGAGACAAAACATAGAAGGCAAGGGGGATCTAAAGGGTCATCACAGCTGAGTCTCTACTGTACGAGGATAAAATCCCTACCATCAGTTGATTGATCAAGGTCAATCTCAAAACTCTTTCTCTTTTCCATCCAAAGCTCCCACAATGGAAGCACCTTCCAGACCCTTATGCCTCTCATAGATAAAAAGCTCCCCTTAGTATCCAGCCCAAATACACTCAAAACCAGATTATGCCCCTTCCTATGTGGACAACAGGATTGTCCTTTATTTTAAATAGCCTTGGTATCTCCTTCCTCAAGAGCAAGCTGATAATCATCTTAGCCTCCATTTTGCTAAGTTGAAAAGCTGAATCCTTTTGTTCTCCTCTCCCAAGACAGAGTCAGTGATGCCTTATAGATTCTACACATCTATTTCAGTTTAAAATAATCTTCGAGTGACTGGAAATTTGCACAAAGTTTTAAAAACCCACAACTTTAAAATTACATCATTGCATGTCCATCGATCTGTGCAAGACATAGGATTATTTCCTGGAAGTGATACTACCAGAGTCTGGTGAAAACAGAAATATCATTGCTTCTTTAAAGCTTATTCTATTGAGATTTACCACAAAGCATTCTGAAAGACAGTACCCACAATGAGCTTTCTTTGTA